AATAAAAATTATTTTTAATTTATTTGAAACATTTCCAATTTTAATAAAAATAATTTTTAATTTATTAAAAAAAATTCCAATAGCGGTATGAAATAAATTAAAAATTATTTTTATTAAATATCATTTTAATGTAACATTGAATTGCAAAAACTGCTTTTTGACACATAGCTTCTCATGGCAATTTGTCAATTAACATTCACAACTGGTCAATTTATTTATACATGGCAAACAACGACCAAACGACCAAACAACAATAAGAAATTGGGTTCTTTATTTGGATAGTGCTTATCTAAAAGGAACCAAAAACTTGTTCGGAGCTTAACAAACTTATTTGTATATACCTAACTCATTTTTAATGCTGCTCAAAAACTTAATTATAATTTGAAAGTCCTCTCAATAATTTAAAAGAAGTTCTAAATAATGATAAACTTTTTGAGCATTATTAAAAATGAGTTATTTTACAAAAAAATTTGTTAAGTCCAAAAATAGTTTTTGGCGCTTGGTTCCTTTTAGATAAGAATTGTCCATTTATACTTACCATTACAATATTATTTTATCAACCGTTTTGGTTAAAGTAATATTTTATCTACGATTTTTATTGGATAAAAGGCAGCTTTAACTTTATAATGTAGCTATAAAACAATATTTGGTTGGTAATACATTTTTCTTGTTTATAGGATGCTAAACTAAATAGCAATTTTCCCCACTTCTTTTTTTTTATTTTTCAACTTTTAATTTGGTTTATTTTTCCTAAATTTTCCCAACATTTATTAAAATGGATATAGCCGGTTTTCCACGGATGCTCCTCAACTATGGTCTAGGTCTTTTAAATCAAATTTGCCTATAATTATAAATTTAGACAATATTTTTAAATAATGACTTATAATTCATTCAATAATATAATAGTTTTTATTAAAATAATTATAAATCACACTATTTTTAAATACACTGCCCTACAAAATTATTGCATAATAAATAAAAAAAAATAACCTCTAAAACGCCTTTACTAATCTTTGTGAAATTTTGGATAAAAATACTTCAACTTATATCTTAATTTACATGTTCAAGGGTTTTTCTAGAAAATATGTTTAAAGCCTTTTTATTTAATAATGAAAAAGTTCGAAAAATCACTTCTAGGGAATTTTTTTAAGTAAATAAAAAATATGCTGTTAAAGAGCGTATTTTTTTTAGTATACCCTGAAAATTTTGTACAAATCAAGCGAACAGTAAAGAAGACCACTTTTCAGCAAAATAATCAAAAAGGCGTCATTTTTACCGACTTTGAAGCGCTGTATCTTCGTTAATGTTCGTTTGATTTGTAAAAAATTTTCAGGGTGTACTAAAAAAAAATACGCTCTTTAACAGCATATTTTTTATTTATTTAAAAAAATTCCCTAAAAGTTATATTTCGAACTTTTTTTATTATTAAATAAAAAGGCTTTAAACATATTTTCTCGAAAAACCCTCTAACACCTAAATTGAGATATAAGTTGAAGTATTTTTATCCAAAATTTCATGAAGATTGGTAAAGGCGTTTTAGAGTTAATTTTTTTATATTTATTATGCGATAATTTTGTCGGGCAGTGTATTAAAGTATACGTCATTATTTAGATTTTTTAGAATTTTTGGTGTATTTAAATCTAATAATTTAAAAAAAACTAGATGTCTTTATAATTCATGAAAAAAATATTCAGTCAGTTTCACTTCTTTTGATTCCCATTTAAGTTTTACACAAAATTAGGTAATAATAATAATAACCTCAACAATAATTCTTATAATAATTATAATTATTGATATATTTGTATATTTTTTATTAACATATGGAAATATATTTTTTAAAGGCTTAACTTTTAAACAAAAACGAATCGCATCCATGTCATTTAAGAAAAAATGTTTATAATTAACCCAGCTATCATCTGACAAAGTTTGCCATAGAGCTTGTAGAGAACCCTGTATAAGATATTTAAACCTTTTCAAAATTATGATGTATAAACAAAATAAATGAAATGTTTATACCTATAGGTACCTAAATTCAACAATACTTTTAAATTATTATAATATAAATTATTATAATTTAACGATAATTATTATTATAATAATTATAATTCAACAATATTATTAAATATTTAAGTATACCTACGTCATTATTTAAGAATATTGTTAAGTTTAAGTATCGTCTAGGTATTTTAAATCAAATTTGCCTATAATTATAAATTTAGATAATATTTTTAAATAATGAATTATAATTAATTTAATAATAATTTTTATTATAATAATTATAATTCAACAATATTATTAAATATTTAAGTATACCCACGTCATTATTTAAAAATATAGGTTAAGTTTAGGTATAGTCTAGGTATTTTAAATCAAATTTGCCTATAATTATAAATTTAGACATTGGCAACACCGCAGGGCTTCTGATACACAGCGGAGTGTGTCTCTTGTTGTTTATGCACCAACGAACAGTTAACCTCCCCGTCCCGCATTACCGGGCTTCGAATAGCCAGTGTAATGCACCGGGCTTCGCATTGATAGCCGTGCATGTATATATATATACTTTTATTAGTGTCATTTCATAACAAGGTGCCAATCTTATTGCTCAATACTTTTGCTTTATACTTCATATTTTCCTTAAATAATTACCAAATAATAATAATACTAATTTTTTTAAACTTATACCCTCAGAGCTTGAAACCTTATTTAAAATATGAAACCTTTAAAGATTTAAGGATTGGCCCTCTGTAACTCAATATTGTGTCTTGGCAACCTTCATAATTTAAAGCATCTTTCATTACGAGGCCTAAAATAAAGTATTCATGTAACCTTTATAAGTAACATTTGAATTTAAGCTAACCCCTCTTAGTTGGAGGCTCTAACTCAAATCCTCAAAGCACATAAAAAACCTCAACAAGTAAAAATATGAACCTTTTTAAGGAAAAAAGCTATAACTCCAACTATTTAAAGTTTCCCTCTAACTTTAACATATGAGGAGGTGCATTCCAAAACTCGGCTTATCCATATTAGTTGTTTTCGAGCAAAATGTCAAAAACCTTACACACTTACTAACGCATATCAGGCAAATAATTAATAATAATTACAATACTTGAAACGAAATATAAAGGCATAAGTAAAACATTTATATACCTTGATTAAAAAGTTTAAAATAATTTAAAATAACATACATATATGCCGAGTTCTGCATGATATAACCAATAGATTAGGCAAGTTTTGGAACGATAGTCAATTTGTAAATGAATTTTAAATGAAATAAGGTTAGTTTTAGAATATTATGAACTTTTCAGGGTATAGGGGTATACATGTTAAATGTATAGACACCACTAACTCATTTTTATTAAAAAGTGGATAAGCCGAGTTTTGAAATGGACCTCCTCATATGGAGGTTTTAATATAATTTTGAATAATTGTCTTTATTAATTCAACTAGGTATAAAGCAACATTAAAAGGCACGTTGATAATAGTAAACGAGTAATTCGTTATATTTGTAATCAAACATTTCGATTTGTTAAAAGTGTCTGTGGTTTACTGCCTTTTTTTCAACACAACACAATTATTCAGTTTCACACTTTTAAGACACTTATAGCATTTGCAACCCCATATAAAATAAAGAACCAGAAATGAGAAACCATAATAAACTTGTGTTTTAAAGGCCCAACTTTATTCAAGTTACTTGAAGGCTAAAATTAAATAAAAATGAGTAAAAAAAAACTATGTACATAATTTTTGTTACATAAATACAACTTGTGCTTAATTATTATCAGCAATTTTTTATTTAATATAATTTAGGTATAAGGTTATGTCCATAGAGAATAAATCATGTCAGCACAATATAACTAGGGACCTGGTTGCCAACAAAAATAATACTATATATATGCTGCCAAGCCAAGCGAATTACCTTATACCCCTACAAAATAAATATTCGGTGTAGGTATACCAGAGATACGATACTGACTCAAACTTTTTTCCAAACCGTGGCAAACCACCAACCAAACTGAGCAAAAGTTACTGACCCGCTAACTTAGCGGAAGATAGATCAAGACCCGACTGTCGTTTTGGTTTTTTGGAAGCCGTGTTGAGATGGCACTATGATTTTCTTTTTTTCAATAAATTTCACGATCCTAACTTTTAATAACCACTCAAAAATTTTTGAAAAGGCAGGAATAATAATTATTGATATTGGCCGGTAGTTTTCACATTTATTTGGATTTTCTTTTTTGAATATTGGTACAACTTTTGCCAACTACAGATGGTTTGGGGCAGATCCGGATCGTATGGAATATCACCTCGAAGTGAGATCAACATTTCTGGAAATTTTGTCCTTAACAGGTCCATAGACGTACGTAAAGTGTGCGCTGTTGCCCCATCCTGCTGAAACCAAACCCTCCTTGGAGGAATTTGGCGGCGACTCAATGAGAAGGAAGTCACGGAGCATTGTGATCATGAATCCTACATATTGTGTAGTACACAAGGAGTACGAACTCCAAACTTACAAATGTTTTTTCAAAATAAGAGGACCCTGGTGTTCGGTTTGTTCTTTGGTTAGTATCAAAACAGCAGACTTCAATACGAAATGGAAATCAGCGCCGCTAATGAAAAAATAACACGTGATTTTTGCGATTTAGTTGTTAGGTTCTGTCCATTCCCCCTATTGAGTTCGTACTTCGTTTGTTTGTTCCTTTGTTATTTCCAAAATTGTGATGTAGCGTTTGGAATTGCAGTCGATCACACCTTATCCCATTTTAAAAACCTTCAGAATTGACTACCGGACCCTGTATGTTGGTAGTGTGTTACTTTCCTACACCAAACATTTAACCAAGAGTGGAAAAATTATTTTTAAGGTTTATAAAACACACTCATCTAATAATATCTGTGATTTTAGGTCTTATGATTAATATTATTATATTATGTTCCTTGGGATAGTTACTTGAAAAAATGTTTAACTAAACGATTAAGTTTTTGGAAATAAAACATTAAAAAAAAATATCTAAATTATTGTATTTATTTATCATTGGGTATATTTCTATTTTTAATTACATACTGATAAAACTTGGCTGATGATTTTGGTGTTCTCGTTCTATTGGGACTACTGAAATCAACATGGTAAAGACCAAATTTAATCCTAAAAAATTGTAATGGTTAAGTTGATTTTCATATAAAAAAAACTATAATTCTTACGTGTATCCAGATCTCCATTCCATATTGTCCATTATACTCCAAGCTGTGTAACCTTTAACATTGCATTTATCAGTAGTCGCTGCTTGAATTACTTCTGATATGTATCCCTTAAAATTTGTATATAAATTTAAAAAATAACTTAATTTTAAATTTAAGAGACGATCTAAGTTCAAAGTGTTCAAATTAAATTATTTTACTGTAACGTTTTTAGTCCAGTCATCTAGGCATTTCACCTCGGAATCTAACGGAATAAGCTGAATTTTTGTACAAACCTTTATTTTAGCATTACAAATGTTGTCTCAAAAGTCACATATGCCAACGTGTGAGCGGCCTTAGATATTCAAGGTCAAAGGTCGTAAAAATCAATGTTTTGAGAATATAAAACGAGATACCTCCTATCGTATTTGCATTTATTATGAAAGTTGTAGAGAATAAAATTCTCTACAAATTTTGTTTAAAATATTTTTTTAAACGTCTAATCGTTTTTGAGATAGAGGGCGCAGAGTGTGGAGCGCTCAGCCATACGTACCTTAGAGCAAGGTAAGGGTGAATCCCAATCTATTATACCGTTTTTTTAAATTAATTAATACTAATAATACTAATAATACTATTAATTATTACTTAAATAACAATTTAATACCTTATATTAATTTTTATATTTCTTTTAAATCAAATAGTCATTAAATATTACTTACCTTTGACATACAAATAATTATAATTAAATAATAAAGTGAATCATTCTAAATATATTCTAATTAATGATAAATGTATTTTAAGAAGAAAAGGCATTAAATGAATTGCCTTGAATATGTTATCTCTGGTCATCTCTTGGATTCAGATATTACTTTTAAAATAACAGACCTGAAAATACTATACTGCCCTACTATGGAAACAGGCAGTAACTACAAAAAAATGCAAAATGCGTTTTCTTGTTCTATGGTAAAGCTATTGACATTTTGTATTCGAATTCAATACATAAAGTGCTTTTTATAAAAATGCTGTTTATGCTAATTTCCCACAAATTTCTTGTTTAGCAGTTACTGCCTTTCTCCATAGTAGGGCAGTATAGTGGGCTAGCTATAAATAAAAAGGTTTGGTATACCTAACCTTTTTATTTAAAGCAATTTTAGTTGTGACAGATATTCGTAATATTTTAAAGGTTTACATGGCTGATTTATGTTTTATTTGTAATAAGTTACTGAAATTTTTGAAGATATGACAATTAATGTCAATGATAACGAGGAGAGGTGTGATGAGAATGAGTCTGAAATTGCTGGCCAACCTGAAGAAGACGAGGATGAAGAAGATAAAGATTAATAATAATAATATTGATATAAATTAAAACATTAAAAAAATATTTTTTTCATTTTTTCCTACTCTGATCCAATTATCCCTTCATTAAAATTAAACTAAAATATAGGATAGGTATATATTAAGATAAAATATATTTGATTTAAAAGAAATATAAATATAAGTATAAGGTATTAAATTGTTTAAGTAATATTTAATACATAGATTAGACGTATAAAAAATGTTTTTTACAAAACTTGTAGATAATTTTATGCTCTACAACTTTTTTAATAAACGCAAATACGCTAGGAGGCAGAGAAAACGGGATATTCTCAAAAAACTGATTTTTGCGACCTTTGACCTTGAATATCTAAGGCCACTCACACGTTTGCATATGTGACTTTTGAGACAGCATTTGTAATGCTAAAATAAAGGTTTGTACAAAAATTCAGCTTATTCCGTTAGATTTCGAGGTTGATCCCTTTTTTTGACTAAGATGACTGTACTATTTAATATACAAACGGCGGGATTTTGTCTGTAAGTTACAGGGCGGATATATCGACGTAATAGTGAAGTAGGGATTTTTTTGTTTATTATTACTAGTTTCGAAGCGCAACCAAATATCCCAACATTAAATGGTTAAGTTGCATTTAACATTAAGGGCGCTTATATATAATGACGACTGAAACGCACTCTAATGAAAGCCACGTGGAGCTAGAGGTGTTAACGTGTTCGATTGTTCGAAAAGTTCGGTCTTGGCTCTTGTGGAGCGCGCATCGCTCATGAAAAAGTGTGAAATATGTCTGATTTAACAGCACAGAAGAGGCAAGATTCCCGTATTAGAAATATTCCTGTATTTCTCGATAATATTACCGATTTGTCCTTTTATAAAAAAAAATTATAGAAAATTAAATTTGAAGGTTATGTGCACGTGGTTTTTCTTTGCTTTCACGTGTCCACTTGTAACTGTCTTAAAAATGTCATTTAACAAAGCTGCGGTGACCATCTTAGTGACAATGACAATAATATATATGTGGCTTGGAATAGAAAGAGTGGATGTCACAAATTTGAAAATTGCAGATATTAGCTATACTTTGGTATTTTTCGAAATAATCATATAAGTCTAGATTTCCACGTAGGTCTTTTTTATTTGCCCAGATAGCAAAATGTAGTTACGATTTACGCACTTGGAGTAAACATGTACGACTTAGTTGCACGTTTTTAACGCATCTGGCCTTACATATGGGACCACATATTAATAAACAACCATATAAAATATCACCTTTTTTGCAACGTTGTTTGGAAGACTCAAAAAATAATCTATCGCGCTCCTGAACTATGGAAATAATGCATTATACACTCCCACATGGGAATTCACTGTAAATGCCTATAGGCATATATATATATACATATATATATATTAGGGTGTGCCAAAAAAACTCGATATTTTTTTTTTCTTGCTCTCCACCCAAAATATCGTAGAATATGTCCGAACAAATATTCTGTTAAAAGAGGAGCTCATAATTTCAATTTTAAGAGGTCCCTCATCGAATCTGAAGTTTTGCCGCTTAAATAACACAGAAAACTGACTTTTTTACCTTATTTATACTTGCAACCTAGGAAGAATTTTTTTTTTTCATAAAATCCATGACTAATTCTTACAAAGCATTAAATTTTGGACAAAAAAATCTTATTAAGCCGAGTTTCTATTTTCATTATTTGATTTTTATAGAGCTTTAAATTTAAAGTTAATAATACAAAAATGATGACTTTATACGCCTGTAACTTTTAGAATATTGACGATACAAAAAATTCGCCAAAAACTTTTTTGTGGTCCATCAGACAAGCTAAAAAATTGCCATTTGACTTTTTCGTCTAACTTCAATAGTTTAGCTGAAAAAGGCAAAAAACGAAAAATTTTAAATTTAAAGCTCTGTAAAAAATCAAATAAATAATGAAAATAGAAATTCGGCTTAATAAGATTTTTTTGTCCAAATTTAATGCTTTGTAAGATTTGGTCATGGATTTTATGAAAAAAAAATTTCTTCCTAGGTTGCAAGAATAAATAAGGTAAAAAAGTCAGTTTTCTGTGTTATTTAAGCGGCAAAACTTCAGATTCGATGAGGGACCTCTTAAAATTGAAATGATGAGCTCCGCTTTTAACAGGATATTTGTTCGGACATATTCTACGATATTTTGGGTGGAGAGCAAGAAAAAAAATATATCGAGTTTTTTTGGCACACCCTAATATATACATATATATATATATATATATATATATATATATATATATATATATATATATACGCAGGCAAGCATGCGAGTTGCGAAATTGCATGAAGACTTAGGTCTCCTCGCTCAAAACTCACGCGTGACTTCATTTTAAATGCGTTATAACGCACACGCGTGAGTTCGCATGTTGTGCCCCTTTTATGCGATGGGTTTAAATACAAAGAGCCTAAAATGTTTCTCTTGAGAATGCTTTTAACTTGGAAGGGCCAAAAATGGACACCCGCCCTTTCTATTCCAAGCCACAGATATACTATATATGTAAGTAAATTTAAAATAATTTATGTCAATACAATGTATGTAATTAACGAGGGGTAAACCACTAATTTTTTTAAATTAAAAAATTAATTAATTTAAAATTAACGGCTAGGGAAAACAATCACAAGGGTAGTCATGCACTTATTCTTATTGATAAGGATTTTACCCTATTGATAACGACTGATAAGGAAATATTAGAACACAACGTCCATATAACGTTGAACGTTGGTCTCGCTGATTTTAAAGTAGTTTACACCTCGGTAATTAATTTAAGTTTCTATTGGCATCTTGATACTAACTTTATAAAATAAAACCCTATCCTTATCATCTAAGCACCCATCATCCTGGTATCCATTTTCAGTAATGTAAATTAAAGGATTATCGTATTCATCTTTTACCCAATTTATTAATTTTCTTATTCCCCATGGTGTTATTAATGGGTTTTTCCATTTTGGATCTCTTTCCAACTTGGTTCCTATGGAAATAACTACATTTAGCATATTTGTAAAATTACAAAAATTAGATTTCTATTATTATTTTGTTTGAAACAATTTTTTTAATTTAATATTTTATTTTAATGTATAATTACATTTTCACACTGTATAATATAAGGTTATTACCTTTGTCCTTATTGAATGAAGTTGGATCAGTGATTGGATATTTATTATCGGAAACCAGCCAAGTGTGGTAATGATTTAATCCCAGAAAATCGGCCGTTCCCCTAATATATTTAATTTCGTGTTTGTAAAGTGGAACTAATCGTGACTCGGAAAAGTTTTCTGCTTTGCTGATCTCATTAATTCTAGATTTCATTATTGCTGGATAGTCGCCCTCCTTAGATAATATTGGATGCATCCACCAACCTGTCTGTAAACATGAAAAATGCTTAGACTACAAGGTGTAATTAGTTTATCTGTTAAATAAACTAAATAAAACCTAACCAGAGATTGAAAAACAGTAGTGTATTTTTAGTTATTTTGTCATCCCACATCAAAAAAAAAAATCTAACACAATAATGGAAAAAGTTTACCACGCCGTCTCTGATTCTTTCAAATTTTGTGTAGATTATTAAATAATCTATCTATTATAAATTTTATAAGCTAGGATAACCATAAATCTCAATTTTGAAGGATCTACGATAATTATTTACCGAGAAATTAATTATTGTAATATTTTAATTTTTCGCAAGATGCGTCATATTATATATTTTATTTTCTTAAATAACTCATTTACCTGTACAAATTATTTCAGAGAAATTTTGTTTGTAAGGGTAACTGTTTAATTTGATTTCAAAAATATTTTCAGAATTTGTCTATCTTGTATTATAGAGCATTGCATTTGTTAAAAATAATAAGTTTTTTTTGACATGTTTGATCAGAAAAACATGTTTTAGAATTTTATATATTGTAAAGGGGGTTGGGAAAAAAACTTCATCTAGGTTTTTCGCTTAGGAGGTCAGAAAAAACAATGTAAACAAAAACTGTTCCTTTTACAGGTGACCCATCTCAAAATAATGATTCAGGTGACAGATGTTAAAAATGACAGGTGACAGGTTTATAAATAAGCTGAAATCTGTATATATATATATATATATATATATATATATATATATATATATATATATATATATATATATATATATTAGGGTGATGCAAAAAAAATTTTTTTTTGAATTCTATTCGAGACCACTCGGGTTTTCAAAGAGTATCAAGAAAATAAAAATGTGTAAAAATTTGAGAGAAATCAATTAAAATTTAGAGGTCGCTCAACGCAATTGTTTAATTTAGAAAAATCACGCATCTCAAATGCATTGCTATAAACAATTAGGCATATTTCATACAAATTTGAATGAAAATGGTTGAATTTTTTTTTGGTGGACTCTTAATGATTATTCTAATAAATAATGTTGTCCCGATTTCAAAAAATTGTTCATAATATTTAAAAAATATATATTAATTAGCAAATATAGCTTAGTTAACAAATAATTCATTCAATTTTTTTTTTGTTTCAAAATCTGTAATAACATTGTTAATAGGTCTACAATCAATTATTCATTCACAAAAACACTCGCCCCCATCGTTAAATATGAGAAAAAAAATAATACTTTAATTAACTACACTTCGCGTCAAATTTAACGCACCACTAAAAGTTTGTCACATTTTCAAAGTTGATTTTCTCGCGAACCGTCAAACCGAATTTGGTAATTTTTGTTTTAAAATTGAGGTTTATTCTTTGGTTATGATGCCTTTATTAAAAAATTCTTTTAAATTTAAGTTTTGAGTATATACATATATAACCGTCAAACCGAATTTAGTGATTTTTATAATAAATCGTAGGTTTATTCTTTGGTAATAATGCGTTTTAAAAATATTTTTTTAAATTAACATTTTGAGTATATATAGAGTGCAAGTGTAATAATTAGTTTTTTTCCGGAAATTTGAAACGCCCTGTTGGTTGTACCAGCTATAACAGCATATATGTCTCATAATCAAACTATAGCCCCATGTTCTCCATTTTGTATTTTTATTTACCGGGTTATCTTTATTTTTAAATGAAATATACATTTAAAGATTAAAGATTAAGGTACCATGAATAGTGTACGATATATCGAGGACATTTTATTTGAGCATGTTGTCCCTTTCGCCCGGTAATAATTTTTTACTGATGCAGGATAATGCTATATAGTGCAAGAGTACTTACATGAGGTGGGTGTTAAAACTTTAGATTGGCCTGTAAATAGCCCGGATCTCAACACCATCGAGCATTTGTGGGATAATATGGGTAGACGACTAAGAAATCATGATCCCTTGCCTGCCTCCCTTGATGACGTAGCAAATATGCTACGAGAAATTTGAAATGTCATTGATCAAGACGAGATTAGACATCTGGTTTCGAGTGTGAGCCGTCGATGTGAAGCCATAATTAGAAGTAGAGGCAGAAATACGCGATATTGATATTCTTTAATGTTGGTTTTATTGATTTTGTTAATATTTTTGTTGTTATTGTTACAATCGTTCTTTTTACATTTTTGTATTAAACTGGAGTTCTTTAATCTTTAACTGTATATTTCATTTAAAAATAAAGATAACGCGGTGAATCAAAAAACAAAATGTTAAGAGAAGATGTGGCTATAGTTTGATTATAAGATACATATGCTGTTATAGCTGGTACAATCCACAGGGCGTTTTAAATTTCCGGGAAAAAACTTATTATCACTCTTGCACCCTGTATATACTCAACATGTTAATTTAAAAAAATATTTTAATAAACGCATTATTACCGAAGAATAAACCTACAATTTATTATAAAAATCACTAAATTCGGTTTGACGGTTCACGAGAAAATCAACTTTGAAAATGTGACAAACTTTTAGTGGTGCGTTAAATTTGACGCGAAGTGTAGTTAATTAAAATATTATTTTTTTTCTCATATTTAACGATGGGGGCGAGTGTTTTTGTGAATGAATAATTGCTTGTAGACCTATTAACAATGTTTTTACAGATTTTGAAACAAAAAAAAAATTGAATGAATTATTTGTTAACTAAGCTATATTTGCTAATTAATATATATTTTTTAAATATTATGAAACATTTTTTGAAATCGGGACAACATTATTTATTAAAATAATCATTAAGAGTCCAATAAAAAAAAATTCAACCATTTTCATTTAAATTTGTATGAAATATGCCTAATTGTTTATAGCAATGCATTTGAGATGCGTGATTTTTCTAAATTAAACAATTGCGTTGAGCGACCTCTAAATTTTAATTGATTTCTCTCAAATTTTTACAGATTTTTATTTTCTGGATACTCTTTGAAAACCCGAGTGGTCTCGCATAGAATTCAAAAAATTTTTTTTTTTGCATCAACCTAATATATATATATACAGTGTGGCCCACTTAAGATGGAAACACCCCCGTAACTTTTTTATTTGTAACCCGATGTTATTGAACAAAGGCTCAAAAGATAGAGAATAAAAAACTCTATTAGAGCTGTTAAAGTTGTTTTTAAAGTCACCCGACACATGCCTAATATAATTTTTTTTCTATGTCAAAATTAAAAAAAAACATTTAGGGTAATTTTTACGAAAAAAATAAGTACGCCACTGAATTTGGCATGCTTAAAAATGGGTAAATACCAAATTTCATTAAAAACAATCGATTGATAATTATTTTACAACGGTTTATTTATTTATTTTTTAAATGTTTATAACGACAATAGAAACAAACACATATGAAAGGTTTAGGAAAAAAATAGGTACGCCACCGAGTTTGGAAGGCTTTAAAATGGGTATATACCATATTTCATCAAAAATAAACAATTAATAATTATTTTGGGCAAGTTTATTTTTTTACGTTATAATCATTAATAATTAATTATTGCTACAAAACAAAAACTAAGATAGCTATGCTTACAACTTCAAACAAACGTCAAACCAAAAACAGGCGATTTGACAGAAAATAGTAGCGTCCTTTTTGTGTATTTTTTAACAGTGTATTTAAAAGTTCTTATCTGCAATCATTATGGCCCATCAGTTTTTAGAGCACAAAGTTGAAATAATTTCGTTATCTCCTACTAAACGGACAATTATTGTCCGTTTAGTAGGAGATAACGATCGTTCAGCGAGAGAAGCAGAGAATTTAATAATAGGCAACCTGAAAGGCAGCCTATAAGCAGTGGTACTTTTTTAAAATCAATAAGCTATTTAATGAAACTGGTACGGTTTTAAAACCTAAACCTTTTATATGTGTTTCTATTGTCGTTATAAACATTTAAAAAATCAATAAATAAACCGTTGTAAAATAATTATCAAGTTAATATACAGGGTGTTTCATACCAGGAGGCGAAAAATGAAATTCTATATTCAAAACGTCATTCTAAATAAAAATCTTTAATACTTTTTTGTTCTATCATTTTTCGTTTTCGAGTTATTCGAGTTCAAAGTTTTGAATTCAAACAATGAAAGGATAACAATTTGCAATAATAGGATTCATAATTCTAGCAACCAAAATATACATCCATGGAAACGTATAAGTATTTAAGTTTATAACACAGACCACTGTGGTTTATAATACAGTTCATTTTTTTTTATCTGGACTGCGGCAACGTTGCAAACTTAGGGGTTTAGTTGGCAAATATTTCTATTATATTGGCAGCTATAAAACTAAATTAATATTTGTGGTTAAGAAATCAAAAAATATTTACCTTAATAATAATAATAATAATAATAATAAATCTTTATTGTCCAACAGAATAACAAATCCAATAATAGGACAACAATTAAGGTTAAGTAAGAGCTAAACTAAAAAATAATTACAATAAGTTTAAGGCAGAGCCTAACTAAAAAAATAAGTACAATACCTACGTGCAAAAACCCAAATGTAACAAAATGACCAAAATAGTATTTCGTTATTGTCCTGTAGGATAATTATTTGTACAGAGACGTTTTTTAAATCACATAAATACATTGGAGTTTGATATTCCTCTGTTTAAATTTAATGATTTGACAAAAACTGTCAAATTATGTAAAACAGAGATACCAATCCTAAAAATACTAATCAAACTGACATAAACAACCAACTTAATAAAAAAACACTAGTCCAGATAAAAAAAATAACCTTATGTGGTCTTCTGCCTTATTTAAGTAATACAACCTGTCAGTTTATTGCTAATATGTCAGCAAGAATTATTGATTGACAATTGACCAATTTGTGGTTTATACTATTTATTTTTATCTGTAATATTACAGGATATTTTCAAAAACATGGCCTTCAGCATTAATACGCTTGGCACCGCAAAACAACAGAATTGCAAACTCGTCCAAAATCTTGTACATTTTGTATTTGCTCCGCCGCATCTATTCTTTG